GAGAGAGAGAGAGAGAGAGAGAGAGAGAGAGAGAGAGAGAGAGAGAGAGAACGGTTCATGAAACTATTCCTCTGCTGCCATCCAAACAAGCGTACTTGCTGAAAACCTGCCACTATCACCCCAACCATAACCCCGCCCGACCCCCAACCCCCAACCCCTGAAATATCCCCCCTCCCCTGCCACCCCACCCCCCAAACGAAACTTCTCTGTTCAAAGCTTTCTTTCTGGATTTGAGGAGATCCCGGTGAGCGCAGTCCAACCATGTTTTAAAAAAACATATATATATATATATATCGTCAAATAGAACTGCCCGGTAAACCGTAGGCAGAGAGGGAGAAGAGGACAACAAACGAGGGGCTGTGACAAACTGTTTCGTCGGAGTTTCACCGACTCATCAGGAGGCTGCTGAACCCTCAACAGTCTGTATATATATATATTTTTCGACCCACTTTTGGGCCCAACCAGAATTCCGGTTGGACCACCGGGGGTCCAACCGCCCCGGTTGGATCCAGCCCAGTCCAACCGGCCGGTTTCCGGCACAGCCCTGGTTTAGAACAGTTAGTTACATCGACTTATATGTGTTTACTATTCATCAATAGACGTCGAGTGTTGAGAGCAAACATACTAAAAACGACACGACCCAACAACACTGCAAATGGAGACCTCATTTCCTTCACTCATTTCTTTTCCTCATTTTCTTTACGGAGCACCTGATTTGCTGCACTTCTCTCATCTCTAGTCTAATTCAACGATCACTGGCTTGCAAAAATTTGAGCCAATACATGCAGATACCGGGCCTTGCTGCACTGCTCATGGAACGCAAAATGCAGAGTGCAACTTTACAGAAAAAGACTGAAAAAGTGGCAATATACATCATATTACGTCCATTATTATTCCTAGAAGTATCTTGCCACATTAAGCATGACAATGCACCCAACACTTCTCGCTCTCACATATCACATTTCGTTAGTGTGGCGAGGCCCAGAACGGATGACAAACCTGTGGTGGTGAGGACCACAACTGACACAAAATGGGCAAACCTCCTGAGCCCATGCAGCTGGATGGTGCACTCCATAACCAGACCTGAGTTCGACATCCGAATCCTGATGGAATCAGATGAGTAAACCAACTCTCGATTACCTGGGGGCCGTCAATTGGGTGATGATGAAGGGCCCCGCTCCACTACAAAACACTCCCTCTACAATGTCTATGTGCATTTGTTCAAATTTTGGATGTTTTCTGACCTGATGCATTCAAAATGTTGGACTCCTTCAAATGCAGCTGGTCCAGAAAGCGGCCAAATGCATGTAGAGTGTTGTGTAGTGGGGTGAAGCCTGATATCGCAAGACCACCCCCTTTGATAAGAAGGTGGGGAAAAGGAAAAGGGGAGAAAAGGGGGGGGGGGGGGGGGGGGGGGAGAGGAGTCTGAGCCTCCAGGTAACCAACCAGATAACGACGGAAGTCGCAAATGGTATGGCTGGAGTCGAGTGGAGCAGAGGTGGAGAGGAGGGGAGGGGAGGGGAGGGGAGAGGTGGTTTAAGAAACAGCAGCACAGCTCTCAAAATCTTACCTGAAGTAGTGCTCGCGCAGCTGGGTCCTGTAGAAACTCAACAGCATCGTCATCCCGATAGCTTACCTGCAATCGACCGTCCAAAAAGCAAAAAATGAGGAATTTCAAATGTGGCAAAAAAAAGAAGGTGAAATTTGCTTCACATGGAATCACACCACTCAAAAAAAAGGTTTGGGTAAAAGCTGCTACAGAAAGATGACAGCATTACATTTTCCCTTTGCTTTTGAACTTCTTCACTAGGCTGTTTTTCCGGGAAACCGGGCCTGGGTGCCTGGCTGGGCACGACCCCTGGGCAGGATTCTGGGCAGCCCCAGTGCAAAAACAAAAGAAGCAAAAAAAAAAAAATCCGGAAAAAAAATGGTGTGTTGGATTGCAATGCAATAGACTTTTGGCTGAGGGTCACAGAAGAATTCGCCACAGAATCGAATATATATTGTCACATCACTACAAACTAAAAGAGCACACTATCGGGGAAGACAAAGAAACAGGTTGCTGATACCCGAACAAGTGCCACGGATGTCATCGAGAGTAGTAGTGGTGTTGCAAACAGAAGCTGAACTTGTACCTGGCAACGCAGGTGGAACAATGGGAACAATGGAAACTAGAGACTCTGTTCGCAAGCGAGACCGTGGAGGAGTTGGGGGTGGTGAGGAGGAACGCAGTCGTCTACGGCCAAGCACAGACAAAGATGAGAGGGGGGTGCATTGGGCAAGATTACGAAGCGAAGGACGTGAGCGTCGGAGAGATTGTGATGTTCTTTGCATTGGAGCTGCAGGACAAGAAGCTGTAGCAGTAAAAACTAAAGTAGGGGGAATTACAGTTAGGGAAACTGCTGTACTGAAAACTGCAGCAGCGGAAACCGTAGCAGTAGGAACTGCAGCAGCGGAAACTAGAGCAGTGGAAACTGAAGCCATGGAAACTACAGCAGTGGACACTGCAGCAGTGGAAACCGCACCAGTGGACACTGCAGCAGTGGAAACTGAAGCAGTGGGAACTGCAGCAGTGGACACTGAAGCAGTGGAAACCGCAACAGTGGACACTGCAGCAGTGAAAACTGCAGGAGTGGAAACTCCAGCAGTGAAGACTGCAGCAGTGGAAACTGTGGTAGCAGCAGATGAGTAAGCAGGGGCAGGACGAGAGCATCGTGGGGGGCAAAGAAGAAACTGGATGATACAAGGACCATCGCAACATGCATCGAAACCACTGAGAGAGACGCGTCACATGTGTAGGATAGCGACGTTGGCGGGGGCGCATGTAGCAGGTCCACCCCTTAGCAAGGGTTCGTGGGGAATGCCCACGTGAAAGCATACGACGAGTAAGTGTTGTTGCCGCTAAGTCCTGCCAATTGTTACAGATTTATTCAAATCTGGTCAATTGCCCAGTGAATACACCAGGCGGTTGATGGGAAAGGATGTTGGATGTCGCACTTGGATAACGAATGACAGGGAAGACCCAAGCAGTCGCTTTATCAAAGACGCTCATGCGAAGCGAGCCATCGGAACGGACCCGTAGCTGCATACCTAAAAAGGTACAAGAGCCATCTGTAGTTGTAATCTCCTTCCACTCAAGCCCATAGTGTTCTGGTGGAGGAGGTAATTGTCCCCATGAAAGAACATCATCAATGAGGCGATAGGTGAAGGCATATTGTTGAGCAGCTTAAAGATCATGTTGATGAATGTCATCAACAAAGCATGCTTCATCCCAACACAGCGTCAGATTAGAAATTTTTGGGCCAGCATTCGTTCCCATTGGAATACCGATAATTTGTTTCCGAAGCATGCCATCTCTCGTGTATAGAAAAGTGTTTTGTACAACAAAGCAAAGATGTTGGAGAATCTGAGAAACAGAAAGGGTATCCGGGCCTGAATCAGTTGTCAATTGGCCACAACTAGGTCCTCGAATAACCATGTTGAGGGCAACGCAGCGTGAATGTGTGCGAGCTTGCCGAAGGGCATAAGCACGAGCTTCATCAACAACTTTTGCCACATTATTCAAAACGCGGTCATGAGGAAGATTGGTGTACATTGTGGTAAAATCAACAGTGCGAGGAGAGAGGCCACGGAGAGACGATGCATTGTTTTTCAGGTCAATCGCCACTTCATCGACACTCTGAACGATCCAGCACCGCCAAACACCAAGCTGTTGATAGAGCTCAGTGTCTTTATTGCGAAGAGTAGAGATCACTCCTTGCAAGCACGGCTGAGATACGACGAAGTAGTCGTCGTGCAACCAAGGGTTTGTGAGGAGGCCGTTCATGAATGGTCTGAATTGTTGTCACACTGTGAATTAGAGCGCAAAGGCGAAAAAAAGCAAAACACGGAAAGGAAAAGAAGGAAGGAAAGCCCCACCTGTTCATCACCTCTTACGTACAAGGCCAGCCACGTGGATGACAGGTTGAGCGCTGGCTGCCCCCATCCTCATGTGTCACAAGGATATCGTGAAACAGAGCCGCCCGGTAAACCGTAGGCAGAGAGGGAAAAGCGGACAACATATATTTGAATCAGACTATGGCAACCCCCTTTATCAAATCTTAAAAGTTAAAACCAGTTTGTCTTCAGAAAAGTAAGAGTTATGGGATCATGGATCCATGACCCAAAACAACATTCAGAATGGACACAACAATACAGGACCTGGAATTAGACCCGGCGGAATGGACCAGGACACCAGGAAGAAACAAAACCGTTAAGGCATACACCCACATACAGGACTACTCAGTCAAACTGGGCTACACTGCCGCTACAGGCTATTCCTCAAAACCAAGGACCCGGACCCCAAATCAACAACAGATGGTCCAAACGAGTCGGTCAGATCCCACAAATCCCATGGAAAAATTCAAGTCAATCAGACCAGTCAAGATCAGGAGCCTTCAATCATTTCAATGGCTAATCAGTCGCCTACGTGGCACTACCAGTTAATCAATGGCTGCACATTCAGAGACATAAGAACGATCCTAACAGCTCAGAATTATGTACAGACTGTTCGGATAACGAACCAGAAGATATGCTCCACTGCCTAATACGCTGTAGAGAAGCGATGGAGTATTGGGCCACTGGGACTCTCTCTATTCTCGACTCCCCTCCCTGAACACCCCTTCCAACTTCTCCTGGGACTCTCTATTCTCGACTCCCCTCGCTGTACAGAAGCGACGGAGTATTGGGCCAGGGCATTGGGCCTCTGGGACTCTCTATTCTCGACTCCCCATCTGCACAAAACAGAGAAGATCTGGTTTGGAATGATCAGGAAAGTGACATTGTGGACCATCTGGAAGGAAAGATGCTGCAGAACCATTTGAGGGCACGTCAAATTCAAGGGGAAAGGGGTGTGGACAGAAACAAAGACTTTGATCCAGGCAAGTGGCACAAGACAAGACTTTCCCTACCAGACGAGGAGGACCAACCGCGCACAGTTCTGTCGAAGTTCGCCAAGATCTGGGTGGTGGATGGAAAAGTCGCAAGGGTAAAGGGCTCCTACATAAGGCGGAAGGACTGGCACAACTCGTAAGGAGATAGGAGAAGGTCAAGACACCTCACGACCGATGGAACTTCTCCGTCGCAAACTAAAGTGTGCTATGCTGAGCAACAGGGGTATTTGTCTAGTGCCTTGGAGAGGAGTGAGACTCAAAGCTGTATCCGCACTTGTCTTGTTTGGATAGGTTTATTTGACAGGCCCGGGAAAGGAACCTGAGAGGATCAAGTGGATAGGGCAAGCTGACAGTCAATCCTTCTTCAGGGTAGCAATCGATGCTGGTCAGGGGTCCTTCAGCCATACGGAAGGAAAGTGTGAGCGTGTTTTCATATTGTATTCAATCTTGACTTACCGGGGGAATAGGAACCGGACTGACGCTCCCCAGGATGGAAAAGGAGCCAGGCCCATAAGGACCTGGTTGTTTCGAAAAAAGAAAAGAAAAGAAAAAAAGACAGTTTGCAAGTTGTAACCCCCTTCTCCCCCCTTGACAGCCAACACTCGAAATGAGAAGACAGTCCCAATTTGGGCTCCTCTGGAATGCCCCACCGCCAAAAAATAAAAATGAAAAAAAAAAAGAGACCCCATGAATTCCCATCCCGGAGATCTTGGGCGTCACACCCCCGCGCCCCCCCCCAGGCGACTTGCCTGTGTGCCCGGGCCGTGCTGCACGGCTGGCCGGCCCAAGTAGCCTATAGCTTCTTTGATCTTTCTGCGAAAGTGATCAGCGATGAAATGCCATGCTTACCCCGAACTCTGCTCCTGCGAGCGAAGTAATGAAATCCATCATCTGTAGCCGAGCCCAAGCCCTCCGCACCTCGCTATCATTTGTGTCGGGAAGACGCTTCCATGCAACTCCCGCCAGCATCGGCTTAGGACGCGTTGCCGCATCTTTTGCAAATGATTGAAGGAGGTCCAGTGCCTTATCCATTGCTTTATCCACAACAACCACCTGCAAAAAACATTTCCAGTCATTTCCAAGACAACAACAAAAATGTTCCTTAAACACCTGAAAGTCCCGAAACCATCCTTAAATACCTGAACCCAACGCCGCCCTTGTGCCTGAATGATGCACACACACATGAAAGAGCTGATGAAAACAGATCACGAGTTTGAATCCTGACTGACTCAGAACGGCCGACAACCTCTAGAATGACACCTTACCATTCCACTCTGAAGGGGGGACAACCTCCAGAATGAATCGTCCCTCGTCCAAAATAGTGAAGACCCTTCTCCTGCTGTTATGATAATAACAAAATCATCAGCATATCTTACATAGAAAGAATCTTTCCGACGGGAACCGGGGATGCAGAAGACCCCGCTCATCCTGTCGGTGGTGCGAATACGGGGCCAGGTAGCCTGAGGAGAGAGGACCATTTCGGTCGTAAATTTATTGTCATATCGAGTATTATCGACTCATATGGAGAAAGAACAGGTGTAAGGAGAACAAGCTAGGTCCGACCTCACATCTAGGGTTTGGGGTCGCTCATCCTGTCGGTGGTGCGAATACGGGGCCAGGTAGCCTGAGGACAGAGGACCATTTCGGTCGTAAATTTATTGTCATATCGACTCATATGGAGAAAGAACAAGTGTAAGGAGAACAAGCTAGGTCCGACCTCACATCTAGGGTTTGGGGTCTGGAAGGTCTGGGTCAGGTAGGAGCAGCTACTGCCCCAGGCGGGGAACATGCGAGGCAAGGGTTTAGAGTTTACTGAGGGGGCCGGTGCTCCCTTAGATCGGGGACTATCACAGGTTTTAGGCCAGCTTGGGCAGCTGAATGGCTGAGTGGCAATACAAGCGAAGCTGGGTAAGGCTCCCAGCAATTTTGCTCAAAATTGATGTATCAGGGACGCTGGACCCGGTTTCCAGCAGGTGCTGCTCCCTACCAATGGACCGGAGCCAACTGCTAGAGCCCCTCGGTCCCGGTGGCACTCTTACCACCCAGGGAACACAGGACGCCGCAGGATGTTGCCCACCCCACGCCCCCCCAACCCCACACCCCAAAAAAAGAAGAAAAAAGAGTATTTTGAAACCCGAATCCATTGGATCTGATAAAGTTTTCCATAGGGTTCACTGGTTGCCGTTTTTTGTCGTTTGAAGAGCGGAAGCTCTTACGATTGCCTCGCCGCGGAGTCTTCTACGGAATTCGGCTTTGTTGACGGTCAAGACACGAATTTGTCAAGTTCGTAAAGAACAACCTTGCATAACACACAAAACAAATCCCTGTAATCACTGTATTGTATAGACACCGTATCATACATACCTATATAAAGTCAAACAGAGCTGCCCGGTAAACCGTAGGCAGAGAGGGAGAAGAGGAGAACAAACGAGGGGCTGTGACAAACTGTTTCGTCGGAGTTTCACTGACTCATCAGGAGGCTGAACCCTCAACAGTCTGCAGAATCCCCTAACTGATTACACTGTAAGTGATAATCCACCTTAATCCCCGCTGTGGTTAAGCATCAATGACTACCCGACAACTAGTACCCCTCTGAGGTGGTGGGGGACCACTAACCACTGCCCTCATGTATGTAGCAAAGCATTGATCGCTGAACGCGTTCGACTTGTTAAACCACTACAGTACTTTCCCAGCCAAATTTCCCTGATTCAGCAAGCCACGCGCCGCGTCCTTCAGAGCTTACTGGCCTGCCAAGCGGCGAGTTATTCATCCAGGCAAATCGAGGCCGCCCAACCGGTCGTTAAGCCCGTATGCATTTTATGTTGCACGACAGGCCAGTACATCCCAACGGACTGCGGCATGCGCGCAGCTGCGTCTCAGAAATTTGTCAGTGAAACATACTGGTGGTTTAAAGGAAGCAAAAAAAAGTTTATAGAACATACTCCAACTAGGACATTATGGACTGCATCTGGTTGTTTTTTTCAGTCAGATACATTCTTGCAAAGTTCCTATGTGAAAGATGCTCAGGCCTTGCCTTCAGCCGGACACTGGCCCACAGGTCAGCAAACAAAACAGTGCTTGGTGACTCTCAGAATCTGGTCAATGATTCAACGAACACAGATGCGTAACAAAAAAAAAAAACAAAACTATCTACTCATGACAATAACGCAGAGCACGGCTATTGTATTGTTATTGCTTGAACCGTGACTGTTTGGCATTTCTGCATGGTTACGCTGGTGCCATACCGAACTGGACATGTGGCCAGACATCTGCATGGAATCGTATATCCATCTGGACATCCAGACGAGATACGAATATACGGACAAACCGCACCGGGACTGTCCAGATAGGGATGCCCAAGCCTGAAAGTGTCCAAGCGCTCATCAGCGCAACATCATATTATACAAAAAATAAGAGTTCCGAGTCACATACCGCTCAACAGAGCAATAACCAGCAGCTCCAATCAGGTATGTACCTGAGTTCAACCCTCATGTCACCCTCATGTCTCTCTCTCTCTCTCTCTCTCTCTCTCTCTCTCTCTCTCTCTCTCTCTCTCTCTCTCTCTCTCTCTCTCTCTCTCTCTCTCTCTCTC